AAAACATGAAAAACGTTTGAATTTCTCGGAGAAACAGTAGTTGAAAGCCGATTATCATAAACAATTTTAAATTTATAACAGCAATTTTACTGTCTTTCATGTTATTAAACATGCCTTACTCAATAGTGATTAACCGTATTTCAACTGTTTTTTTTTAATATTTTACTAGCTTAAATATCTATTTGTCTCCCCTAATAAACAACTTTTGTTAAGCACCTTTGTAAACAGGATGCTCCCTTAATATGCCTTTTTAGATTTTTTTTTATCAAGTGTGAAAACCAAAAACGATAGACATTGGGGACGTGAACTATTCGAACTCTGACAAATTGCAGTAGCGGAATGGGCATGAACTAAGCATTAAAACAGGTTTAATAGAAGATTGAAACTTGCAGGTGTCTCTAGCAGTCGTCTTTTAACTCCTCTCAGTTTCCTATCACAATCAAATTCGTTACGATGTTTATTACATGCTCTCTCCTGTACCATGATTCAGATTTATGTAACTTTTTGTTTCTTTTAACTTTATTTTAGTATTTCTTTACAACCCCTAATGTGATAACTTTTTTTCTTATCATTTTAGAAATAGAATCTATAAATATATATATGGTACACCCTGTATGCAAGTTCGACTTCATCTTTGACAAGGAATCTTAAAAATGCATATTAAGGGTGGTCTTTGCGGTACACTCTAAGTAAGATCGATTTCGTCTTTGACAAAGATTTTAAAATTGTATATTAAGAGAGGTCTTTATGGTACACCCTGCATGTGAGTTCGACTTCATCTTGGACAAGAATTCTGAAAATGTATATTAAGATTGGCCTTTACGGAGCACCCTGAATGTAAGTTAAGGGGAGTCGGAAAGGCATATATCAATAATGCGAAAAATGACCTTTTCGATGTAGTTTTTCTAAGGAACTACTGGTTTTGAAATTTTTTGGGATATTTGAAATTCGATCAGTTGCTGTGATAATGTTTTAGCGTTCACATGAATACTTTTTGAGTTATGAAAGATTTTTGATGAAACTTTCAAGAAAATTGAATTTCACAGTTCACATTTTTTTAAAAAGAATTCTGCTAAGGATATGTACTAACAGTTATTATGGTGCAACCAAGCATGTGTAAATATACTGTGAAAAAAAATTATATCTTTTTTTAAAGATAACAGTATCTTTTCTAAATGCTGAAAAAGGTACATTGAAAAGAGTCAGTTTTAGCATAATTGGTACATGCCCAACCGACACCCCTTAAACTTCAATTTTGATAAAAATTCCAAAAATGTATATTTTGTATGTAGGTTCGACTAAATCTTTGAGAAGGAATCTAAAAATATGTATGAAAGGTTGACCTTACACTCAGAGTGTAAGTTCTATTTTCTCTTTGACATGGGTTCTAAAAATGTATATTAAGAGTGGTCTTTATGGAACACCTTGTAAGTCTGACTTCATCTTTGACAAGGATTCGAAAACTGTGTATTAAGAGTGGTCTTTAACGAACACCCTGAATGTAAATTCGACTTCATCTTTTATTCTAAAAACGCTGCTGGTAATATACTTATAGAATAACATAAAGTTTAGGAATTGATAGAATAAAGGTGCAAGAAAATTTTTTGATGAAATATTTACTTGATGTGGAATAAATTTAATGCGATACGTACATAGCAATTCCTTACTTGGCTATTTAGCAGTCAATCAATACCTCTGCTAGACACAATTTCTGGAAAGTATCAACCCCCGAGGAAAAAGTTTCCCTTCTCCTTTTTATTTTCCTCCACTCATTTATATCTTGATTAAAATAAGTTCGATCTTGGGTTTAATCCACAAAACGAAAAAAAAAGTAATGATTCAATTGAATTAAAAAAAAAAAAACTAAATTTCATTAAGTTTTCTCAGTATTTACGAAAACTACCGTTTCAGGCGATGATTATTTCTTTTGTACGAAACAAATGAATTGAATTCAGGGCGATTATTTTTATTTTTGATTAATTCGGGGCGAATTCATTTTCCTGAAGGGCAAAAAAAAATTTTTTTTAATTCTAAGGATGCAAGACAAAAAAAAGGACCAATCAACAAAATTTTAATAATTATATTTTATAAACTTTACATATGTTTATTTATATTAATTATATGTAAATTTAAATTCCTGTTTCAAATAAAAGCTTTATTGTTCGGAAAGTTTCGCAAAAAAAATATTATTTCTCCGAAATAAAGCTTATTAAGAAAATGAAGATAAAAATACTGCAAGTATTTATTTTTAAAAGGAAATAAAATCGAGAATAAAATATTCTACGAAGAAAACTAATTATACTTTTCGGTAATAGTTTATAATATGCAAATTGTATTTTAATTGATAGGCGAGAACATTTTTGAGAGAAAGGAGAAATGTGTTTGGAATAATGCAGAGAGACACTATTCTAAACTCAGTTATCCAGTTTTCTTGTTTTAGCTTCTATTTTGAAAGTTAGATAATTTTAATTTAAATTAGAGACATTAAAAAGTCTAAAGCAAACTATGCTTTGCTAACTATGACTAAGTTTGAGGAAGTTATAACTAATAATATAATTAATACGTAAATATTTATTTTGTAATTCAGTTTCTATCGTATAAAAATAATTATGTTATCAAATAAAATTGAAAATTTATGCTTAATTTAATACTAATGATAAACAAAAATTGCTCATTAAAATTGGTAAATTTAAAGAAGTTATTTAATTGTCAACGCTAGCGCTAGATGATGTTAAAATATAAATATAGCAGTCGTCATTATAGTCAGTCGTATAGATTTTTATTTATAGATGTATCGTCATTATAGATTTTTATTTTTAACTGTGCATCGCCATCTTTTCCAGGTAAAATAAAATATATTATTTTTGCAATTTATATTATTTTTCTTATCCATAATTATTATTGAATAACAATAAATATTAAATATACCCCTAGAACATTAACTATAATATCGTATTCGATAATTATCCATTGAAGATTATCCAATTCACAGAGAAAGTAATTAAAATAGCAGTAACTGTTGAACAAATTGGAATTCGGGAAAAAAAACGAGTTCATTATTAAATAATTATTGAGTAACAATTATCCAACCATGAACACGCTTGAATAATCATTTTTGAATAACAATAAACATACCCGTATCACCTGAACAATAATAGCGTGATCGATGACTATGCATTGAAGATTATCCAATTCACAAAGAATGCAATTAAAACTGCAGTAACTGTCGAACAAATTGGAATTCGGGGAAAAAAGCGTGTTCATTATTAAATAATTATTGAGTAACAATTATACAACCATGAACACGCTTGAATAATCATTTTTGAATAACAATAAACATACCCCTATCACAATAATAGCGTGATCGATGACTATGCATTGAAGATTATCCAATTCACAAAGAATATAATTAAAACTGCAGTAACTGTCGAACAAATTAGAATTCGGGAAAAAAAGAGTGTTCATTATTAAATAATTATAGAATAACAATTATCCGATAATGAACACGCTTGAATAATCATTTTTGAAAAACAATAAATATACCCCTAGCACATTAACAATAATACCGTATTCGATAATTATCCATTGAAGATTATCCAATTCACAAAGAAAGTAATTGAAATAACTGTCAAACAAATTCGAATTCAAAAAAAAAAGCGTGTTCAGCTCATAAATAAAAATGGCCCTTTCAGCACGAAATTTTTCCACTCTATAGTTGCATTCCCAAGATGGGCAAAGCGACCCATACGGTATTTTTTTTACTATAGTTTGACAACCAATAATTCTCAAATTATTCACAAAAAGTTAGTTTTTCCCCCATTGCACGCCTTGCCCAATTTTCTACACATCTTCATAATTTCAAGTTTCCAAATTTTAATAGTTTTTGCGCAGATAAACGAAATGTGCCTGTTACGATGAACACCCAAAGCAGCGGGAACAATGACTCATAATAATATTTAATATAGGAAGAAATATTTAAAAAAAAAACAACTTTGCCCGAGCAGAAGTTAGTGCCTTTCAATTTCAAATATTTGCGGTATTGTCAAAGCTTCCTATGAATTGAATTTTTGAAATAATTAAAAACTATCCGGCAGCTATTAAATCACGCAGACCATCTAATCAAAGAATGAAACTGATTTAAACAAATTCAGAAAAAGACAAAATAAGTAAATAACATTTAAAATAATAAATCAAAATGGAAAAGTGCTTAAAGCAGCTAAAACCAAATTTGTTTTATTTTAATTTAGAAATCAGAAATACTATTCCAGCAGAAAATAAATGATTTTTTTTAAAGATATGTGTGTTAGCTAGATAGCACTGCATCAGGGGACACACTGTCTGCCAACACACAGAAGCCTTTCTGTCGTCAGTGGTAATACCAAAAACTGACAATGCCCCTAGGCCCCATAATGAATAAACAAATAAGAAAAAGCAATCAGAAAAATTTAAATGTGAATGCAAAGACAAATTAATGACAGACGAACACAATTTAAAAGTACACAGAGTAAGAACTAATAATGAAACACCCACGTATTAGAAAAATAAAGATAAAGTTACAGTTAGAATAACCAAATCAAAATAAAATATAAATTGCTATATCATTAAAAAAAACTTTAGAAATAAATCAAGTGCTGGACCCTTTTGAAAAATAAAGCAAAAAAACAATGAGTAAAATTTCTAAAAAAGTGCTGCCATCTATGTATCTACACGCAGACCACTATGAGTTCCGGACATTTTGGCAAAAAAGAAAACAGAAGTATTAAAGAGAAATAAGAGGAAGTATTTCCATCCATCTTTGTTGTGAAGAAAACTCATCCACTCCCTAGTAAAATTTTCAACCGTTTCTTACGCTCATTATTTTGAGCCAGATGTAGTTCCTAGCACAGTATAATTTGGGTATTTAAGTTATTGATACTAAAGAATTATACCTGAATTTGTGTGATCTTAAATTTACTGTGATACGATATCAAACTCGTACTGTATTCCAATAAAAATGTTACCTTATGAGACCAATTTTCGGTCTGTGGAGGAGTAGCCATCTATACGCCACTTTTTCACGCCAACCTGCATTCTTTGGATCTCGCCAAAGTAGTCGAACCTAAAATGGAATCAAGAAAAATAAATAGTTAAAAAAAAAAAACGATTACAATTTAAATGGTAGTCTAACAGCAGTAAGAACATTTGATGAATGTTCTAAATGGTAGTCTAACAGCAGTAAGAATATTTGATGAATGTTCTGAATGGTACTCTAACAGCTGTAAGAACATTTGATGAATGTTCTATCATATTAATAAGCCAAAAAATGATATTCTTGCTATATCCGTTATAAAAAGGAAGAAATACAGATTGCTCACTGGCGATTATTATCACAATTATCATCAGCCCATGGGTAACTTATTTTCACAGAAAATACTGCGTAAATTTTCGAAAACTTTTCCTTGCTCTGATTTTTCTAGAATTTTTAGCAACGATATTTACGAAACTTGACAATTAAAAAATTCTCCGGCACTAAATTTTAAAAGTAAATAAATATAAATTTCAAAGAGCCCCTCAAATAAATCAGGCTACAGAGTAAGAAGAGGAAAATAAATAAAAACTTCTGAAAATTTATTTGGTATTTTCGGAAAAAAGCTACGTCAACTTTAGTAATTTAAACATACAGAATAATTCAGTATATCGGTTGCAAGCTTTGAGAGGAAGTAGGTATTACATAGCACCTCTTGCTATGTAATTCTCATTGTAATGTCATTGTACGCCACTAGGGTAGCTTTCCTATTATGAACTGGCTGTTCGTGCGCATTTAAGCTGATGCTTTTAATTATCAAAATACCTGTATATTGGTTTATTTTAGTTTAAAAACTATTGTCCAAATTTGCATTAAGATTTAAGTGTTTTATCATTTTTTATGAAATTTAAGAAGCTCGCTAATTTAGTTGCTATTTGACTAAACTTTGATAAAATAGTAATTTTTAAAACTATTTGAATGATAATTTTAAAAATAATCATAAGAAAACATAAAATTAAAGATAAAAATAACTTTTTTCGAACAGCCACCCGTTACTAGAACTCTAGACTAAAAATTTAGAATAGTAGCCACTGGCTATCAGAGTCATAAAAAATAATAGCCACTTTTAGATAGATGTGCGTACAGAATCAGGATTACTGATTTAATATATTATTTTAGGAAATAATAGATTTATTTCATTTGAATGTTTTTTTTTTATTTGAATGATTTTTTTTAAAAATTGTATTACATTTATAATATACTGGAAATTAATAAATATTTCTAAAAAAATACGCAATTATAAAATCATTTAAATAAAACTAAAGGCGATTGATTAAAAATTATAATTAAAATTTTATATATACTTGCAAAATATATCAAATTCAATTAGTGGAAGGGAAAAAAACCTACAATTTTTTTAATAAGATTTAGTTTTCATTTACTCTGAAATGATACCATGGATACTGAAATCTGGAGAAAATTTTCTTTCCCCTCTGATCTATGTCTAACTTGTGAAATTGGCCTTACGAGTAGATGGTGCTGCCATCTATCAGAGAGGTCCTGAGCAAAGTCGCACTTTTTTGTTTTAGCGATTCTCTCTTGAGGAATAACGGCTGTCATAAAGACAAGGTTAATGCAGACTTCAAATGTGTCACAAAATTTTCTGCTATAGGCCACTATCCCCCTCTTGAAATTTTGTCCGATTTTTTGTCTTGTATTCCTTTAGGAATGCATAACTCTTATGAAGTTTAGCTCAAATCCTTATTTTTAAGCTGGACCAAACAGAGAAACTATTGGATTCAAATATAGTGGATTAGGTGGATATAAAAAATCAGAAAAATTTCACCTTACACTATTCTTGAGTCCTTTTAGCTCTGTGTGTTGGAGCAGTACTCTGAATAACAGAACTAAATCTCGTGCACATGTTTGCAGGCGTGCTTGGATAAAAACTTAATTCAAAACAATTTCAAACTTCAGTAAAAGATAAAAAAACAATAATTGACTTCAATGTATATTTGTTCTGGTCATCCTATATATTTAGAATTTAAAACATCCTTGAATACAATTTAATACTTTTTATAAAAAGGATAGGTGTTTCAAGATTATGCGATTTCCACACTTTTCCTTTCTCCATTGCCATGGTTTCGGCAAATCTTGCCTTTTTCTTTATGGCAGTACATTTCAGTAAAAAGTGGTGCGGAGAAAAAAGTAATATTTATCAAAACCACATTAACCCTTTAACGATCGGTTAATTTTCAAGAAAACGGTCATAAAAGTGCCTATTTTTTATCCCTGAAAATTGATTAGTGCTGACATCTAGTTTAAAATAAACTATCTACAATTACCTTAATGTCATGTGCTGCCATCTGGTGTGTAAAATGAGAAATAAAATGTTTTCCGGGCAAAAGGGATGGGAAGGGAATTAGTTATATTCTTATTGGCGCGTTGAATTCACTGAGCATTCCAGCCCGGAAATATCACGGGAGCGAGAAATAGAGAGTGAAACCTCATTCCGTCATTTTCACGGGAGCGAGAAGGAAGGGGTTAACGGATAGTGGGAAAGTACGCGGAAATCGTATAACCTTGAAAGTGATATTAGATTTATAAATAGTACAGGAATGATATTCAATGACATTTTTACAGATGGCACAATGTGTACCTGATTTGGTGTATCACCCGTGTGCCATAAAGCATTCCTCATCATTTGTCCGGGTCCTGTTGCAGAAGTGACTAGTTTGAGTTGTATACCTGGTTCAGCCACAGCACGGAAAGGCATGGCCTGCCAGTAAGTTTGAGTTTTTTTCTTCCACATTACAGAGTAAAAATTGGAGTTGTCTTGATAGCTGAAAAAGAAAGAGAAAATGTCAAAGAGAAACATACATAAAAATGTTTAGATTTCATAAATGTTATTACCTTCTAGAAGGGGTTTAAGCAACACCTCTTAGACGAGAGAATGCCTTAACACGGATCGATTTTGTAATCTGACATAACGAACGTAAACTGCGCAGTGGGGAATAATTAAAAAAATTTCAATACTTTCAGTCTACGAAGCTGCGCAGAAAGGGAAATATGAAAGATATGATTATGTTTGGACTACTAAAGAATCAAATTTCTTGTTTATTGTAACCCGTGCGGAGGCCTTCTCTCTTCCAGGAGGTATTGATTTAAGAAGGGGTATTTTCAGTCTAGTGTTACCAGTTAAAAATAGATAAAGAGTGTATTGTCATATTATAGCTGTTAAATTTTTATTCTTAAAAACTATGATTAACTCTTTGGTTTCGGAGTTTTCTCTTGTTTGCAGTACAGTTACTACAGCAAAAAGAGGGTGTTTCCACTGAAAAAATAATGCTCAAGGTATTTCTTGACAAAAAGTTTTGTTATATTATGAATGATACCCGAAAACTCCCTAACTCTAATCTGAACTCTTCCCCCTTTTTTAAGAGAAATAAGGGTGATTAGAGAAGGAGAATCTGTTTTATTCAATTCAGCGTAAAAAAAAATTCATTAGAAAACATGCCTCACGGAATTCATGGAAGGAATTCAATCCTCCTCCTCAAATCCCTCCCCTTTCCCTCAATAAAAGGGAGAATCGTAAAGAGGAGAGGTTTAGATATAATTTAACTTTCTGTTAAAAAAAAAACATTCTGTGTATTAAATTTTCCTGAGAAAAAGTCAAATTTTCCTGAGAAAAAAAATCATTTCTTGAGAAAAGTATTATTAATAGAGCAAGCGATTCTGCGCTTTCTATCTTGATTATTATTATTATTATTACTTTGTTTGTGTGTTATAACCTCTACAGTTGGATATACCAACACCGTCCAGAACAGAGAGACTGCCTTCGCACGGGTTATCATAAACGATAAATTCAATCTTTTAGTAATCCGAATGTTTTGGAATTTTTTTTTTATTTCTTCTCCTCTGCGCAGTTTATGTTTGTGCCTTGAAAATTGGAAACGCCTGCGAGAAGGCCTTCTCATTTTCAGGAGATGTTGTTTATACACAGTACATTCACACAATATAGAACTTTGGAGTATATAGTTTTTTTTTTTAATTTCAGTTGAAACTTATTACCAAAATTAATTGGGCATAGTTGGTGTCACTAATATTGAGACGAATTTTTACGTTTCTCTTTAAAGAATTAACACCATTTTCCAATTTCTTTTTAGCGCATAGCTAGATTTTTTTATTTCAATGTGTACAGATTACCAAAATGAATTAAACTTCATAAGTCAATAATAATATGGTGATCTTTCTCACATAATTCTTTTCTACATTAAATCCTTACGTAATAACAAATTTAATCAAACATTGTTATCAATAAGAGTTTGCCGATTTTTACGTTTCTCTTGTATGAGTTAGTACTATTTCTCTATTAGTTTTGTCTTTCAGAACATTTTTTTATTATATATTTATTTCTATTTGTTGATTTTAAATTATTCAGTTTTATAGATTCACGTTTTTAAAGCATAGATAAGAACAAACTAGACACAACTATAACAAAATAAACACTCAGTTTCTAATGACTTTAGGAATACTAATTTGGTGACGTAATCCGCCAATGTTATCAGACTAATACTGATCGTTGATTTTATCTGACATAATGAAATAGAAATAATAGAACGTGCAAAAAACACTTTTTTAATGAGAGCTATAAGCTAGCAAATATCACTGTTATCTTTAAAATATTTTAAAGACCCGAAAATCGTCTGCAGTTGCATTTTTATCAATGGCGTTCTTAGAAGGGAAAGAACTTTCATACTGCTCTTCCGAAGGAACTAATTGAAAATTTCGAACGGATTTTAGAAATGGGTACTAAATTTTCCCCTAGCAGCCTCTATCTAAATTTAATGATAGAACAAACGGCTCTGGAGTTATACGAGAAAGAGTTTTTTTCAAATAAAATGAATGAAAAAAAAAATAATAAATACATAAATAAATAAAAATAAATGAATAAAAATAAATTTAAAAAATAAAATAAAAATGAAGTAAATAAAATAAAAGTAGCTGTATATAAATATCTGAGCACGACATATTACCTTTATCATTCATAGTTATACTTTTTAACGTATGAATAATTATTCGAAATTAACGTTAATTATTAATTCTTCATTATATGGTTACTATAATAAAATATGCTTATAGCTAGACTATACTTGAATTAGTTTTTTACTATACCGAAATATTTAGTTAATGTAGTCGTATATAGTCGTAGTATATGCAGCCGCATTTATGTTTTATGAGTTATGTTTTTAGCCACGAACTTTACGGTCATTTTGGTAAGTAGTATCATTTTCATAAAAGGAAATCATCTCCCTTATCTCTAGCAAAACTAACAGATCAAATGCACAAGAGAGATATATTCACCTCATTTCATACAAATGCATTCCAGTCAATGGCCAAAAGTTAAACATCTTTTTCATTTATAATCGTTAACCATTAATAACAGTGGGACAGACGTGCATTAACATAATTGTGGTTTATGAACTCTGGTATAGATAATCTGCATTGTTAATAATTCAAGAAAAACCATCAACTTAACTAAAACGAGCATATAATATGATTTCATCCTATCTAAAAATGACCTTCTGCGAAATGTGAATGCACTAATTGCAATCTACCATCTTTACTATCTATTTTAATAAAATATGATACAATTTATTTAAAATATAGCACTTCTTTAACTATATATATATATATATATATATATATATATACATTTTTTTTTTCTTCTTCGATCAAATGTTTTTTTAATTTTATTATATTCGATTCAAGCTATAAGCAATATTTTANATAATGTTATTTTTTGTGGATATAGTGAACCAAAAAAGTGAGGAAGTTGGATATAATGAACTTTTTTCTGTCTTCGACTGATTTTTTTCTTTATTTTTTTTTTGTAATAATTTTGAAATTTCTACTTCAAAATAAATAAAATACATATACCAATGTTTAAAACCTTCTACAGAGGGGAATGTAGTGATAAGCATTTTTTCCTGTTTGCTTCTTTTATCTCACTTTCCAATCCATAAACAAACCAAGCAGATGCCTGGCAGATGATCCACCTGTAAGGTGTCAGTGAGATCAATCTGCATTTTCTGTCAGAGGGAATGAGTAATTATTCGTTATTGGTCAAAGTTTTGGACACTAATATGTGTTGATAAGGCCCTCATTTCAACTCCTTTTTGCTCTCAGTTCAGTTAAAAAAAAGTCTGCAAACAAGTGTCTCAAATTTAACTATGGAGACCAGTAAACGCAAAAGGTTCTCCATTTATGATAAAATGGGTATAGTCAGAAAAATTGAAAATGAATGCAATTAAATTGATATTTGAAGGGAATATAAATTATTCAAATCTTGAGTTTGTAACATATGGAAAAATAGACAATTAATAATTTCTGTTCATAAAAAAAAATCTAGAAGGCAGAAAAAAGTTGAAAAAAATCAGATCTCAAGGATGTTGAAGAAGCATTGCTGAAGTATTTCACCATTCGAAGAAGCCGCAATCTTCCACTATCTGGACAAATGACGATAAATGTATTAAGCGATTTCATGAAACTAATATTATGTGCTCGAATGGCAGGTTAGACAGGTTTAAAAAGCGGAATAACAGAAATTCAGGAAAAATTATCTGAGAGTCAGGAAGTGTTTCCATATCTGATGTTGAGGATTGCTCATCAGCTAAAAACTACAAATTATAATTATAAATTTATAATAATTATAAATTTTCTTTGCACGCAAGACGAAGAATAATGAAAAATAACACATTTTTTGCTACTACATAATATTTTTCAGTCATTTATTTGAATAATGTGTAATAAAAGGGAGTAGTTTGGGAACCATTAGTTAAATTACCTACGTAACGGATATAGTGAACTCCCGGTTATAGTGAACAAAAATTTCGATCCTTTGAAGGTTCACTATAGCGGGGTTTGACTATATATATTTTTTTAATATCTATTTTTTGCTTGATAAGTTTTATTTCACATTTTTTTAATATGTTTTAAAATCTATTTTTTTGCTTAATACGTTTTATTTTGCATTTTTTGCTCAATATGTACAATTTTCGCATAGATTTTTTGGGCGCTCCTCACAGTATTGTCTTGATATATTTTGCTTTGCCTACATTAATACAAGGTCAGAAAGCAGTCTTTTTGCCGGTGACGAGATTATATCTTTCCTTATTTCGTTTTCCGGTTTTTTAAATTTTTTAAAAAATGATTTATGTATTAATAGTTTTTCTTCTCTTTAAAAAATTTATATATTTTTTCCAAGTCTTCTTGATATTTTTAACTTTATTTTTTTAGTAAATATATGTATATACACTGTATAATGCTTTTTTATTAACAATTATTATAGTGAAATAAACCACTTAACATCGGATATTGCATGATAATCTTATAAACAGCAATGATAATGTAAAACCATATGAAGTAGTAACTTTTTGAAAATAAGATGGTAGCTAACAAAAGAATTACGATACATATTATAATACCCGTAAATAAAATATCCCTTTTCTTCAAAAAAGTAATTTTCATATTATTAATTTTCATATTATTTATTTTTATATTACTAATTTTCATATTACTGTGTTATTTAAAAGTAAGGGAATTAAAACAAGTAAAAGAAACTATTCCAAAAATAGACCCTGAATAGATTCATCTTTAAACAATTACAGTTCTTACGACTGACTCAAGGTGCTTTAGTATACATTCCTTTTTTCTTTTTTTTTTTCGTCAGATGTGTTTGGTTTTGTTCTTTTAACTTTGAATTTAGTATGTCATTTTACAAAAGATCAAAGTCACTAACTTATAAATCGTAATTCATAAATTTAAAAGTTTAGAATATGTAATGCTAAATGGCACTTAAAAAAATAAAGTTCTTTACAAATACTATTTTTTATTAAATCTAGTTAAAAATTATTCCAAAACATGTCGGTACTGATTCGCTAGATATTATATAAATCAGAATATATTAAATTTTATGAATTTAAAAATTTGGACCAAAAATTAGTTTATGAATAAAACAAAAATGCAGTCTGGCAGTTTTCGGTAATAGTTAACAACAGTTATAAAAGATAAACTGTAATTTAAACATATAACTAGTAGAAATAATTGAGTTTTAAAATTTCTATAGCTACCTATTCAATGAAATAAATTTGTTTATAACTAAAAAAGAATTAGTGCTATAAAGTAGATAGCAATAACCATAAATATATGCACTAATTTAATATTCGATCAATGAAAATTAGGTAGATATAATTTAAAAGATTATTTCGAACATTTTCGAAAACAATAAATTTCCTAATAAAATTAATATGATAATATTAATTAAGAAAAGCGTTAAAACACTTTCATTTTCCAAAAAAATATTAATTGAATATGCATTAATAGCGCAATAAATTTCATTTTACAATGCTTTTTGCCTTAAGTTTAAAAGCACAAAAAATTATTTAGTGAAAATAAATCAAAACAAATTAGCCGAAATGTTAAATTTATAAAAATGGGGGAAATAATAGTTTCATTTTTTATTTCTTTTCAAAAATTGATGTTGTTAAATATTCATGTATTCATTTCCATACTTGACTTAACGTTCTTTTAGGAATAATTTATTAAATAAAAGCGTGAAAAGTTTAAAAATTGCTTCTGTAATGAGCTGTGAATAAATAAATAATCAGTTTTATTCTTTTTATCTTTTCAAGTGTATTCTATCCGAAATTCTAATTAAGGGATTTAAATTACAAATATCGGATTTTAATGATTTATTACGTTAATTAATTACTCTGCATTACGTAAGGCAATAAATTTGATAAATATCATTAATTTTAACGTATTTTACAAAGAATGCTCTTATTTTATGTTTGTCTCAACTTGTTTCAGTTGTAATTTTTCAGGGTTGTGAGCGTGTCTAATACGTCATATAACAATACCAAAAAAGTATGGATACTATAAAATATGTTCAAAATCAAACACGGGTTCAAAATTCTGAAAATGCGCGTTTGAATTCAAACGATGCATTGCATATACCAAACGCAAGCCCCAAACCTCACCCCCAAAGGAAACTGCAAAATTTTTAAAAATTTCTAAACTCAGTATGGGATTGACTGTTCTATGCCGGTTATAAAATAAAATAAAACGAAATCTTTAACAGAGTTACTGTACCGCTTCAAACAAGGTGACCCAGTTTTATGTCCCAGCGATGGCTGATCGATAAGAATTCTGCCCCAATTCGTACCGAACATTATGCTTACGCGAAATAACCTCAGTGAAAGTAGGATCATGGAATAGAATCCTCTTTCCGTCGAGCTAACCATGATAGGATTTTACGGTTTTCTTCTCTGTGTAACGCAGATGTGGGTAAATTTAATCAAAAGGTCCTTCGCAGAGGCTTCTTTGATCCAGAAGTTCCCTTGCCTTCTGGTTTGGGTTCAAAATTACAAGGCTACGAAACATTGATAGCCATAAGCCCAAAAATGGGTCGTCTGTTCAAAGTCTGTAATAAAATAAAATTATGAATAGGAACTACATTTTTCAGTGTAGATTTGGACAAACCAAGAATATGTTAATCAATTCGGCTGACAGATTTTTATATTTCTAATTCGCAGATGGCGCTGTAATCCACAAAATGAATAAGGGGTATAAATCATAAATATCGAGGTATTTATATTAGATCAAAAAATTAAAATAAACATATGTGATATTTTTTTTAACTATCTAATAGCATTAAACTCATCATCCACTAAACTACTTTAGTTTCAGGTGACTTCTAGGGGTAGAGGTTTAGTGTCATGTGAACTAAAATGCAACTGGTTATTACTTGAAAATCCGAATCTGTGTAGTAAAAAATCAAATGTTCTATTTAAGATATAGATGTTTAAATGTTCTATTTCGGATATAGAAGCATCCCAGAGGATATATCAATTTGGTGGGGTATTGAGTTTTATATAAAACTTTAAAATATTTTATACTGGTAATTACAGATATATTTTCTATTAATTTTTTTAATTTCATACGTATTTTTCGAGATAAAAGAATTTTTGGACAACACTTACATTAATCATGTAATATTAGTTTAATGATACGCTAATTATCAGAATATTAATTAAATAATTCATACCCTATTATTGTAATATTAATTTAATAAACTACCATTTATTTTTTAATTATTAATTTAATGGTATTTCACATATTATTAATTCAAATTTAGTAATATGATTTTTGATTGACTGATTTAATTATTGATTATTTTGATAATTATTTTTTTAAAATACAGTATAACCCAGGTTTAACGTTGTCCATTTCGAACGTTATCCCGTTTCCTACGTCATTTTCTGCTGGTCGGTGAAAATTGCCTATACCGATAATGTTAAATTTTCTCCGATTTTACGTTTCTCTTTTTAAAAATGATCCCACTCTATACCTTTTTTTTTAACAAATTAAATCAATTTTTCTCTACAGAGCTCGCACAAACTTTTTCTGAGTTTCCTTTTTTTTAAAAGGATAATTGTTTATTAGCTGTTAGTAGCTTTTTGGACACTTTTCTCATTTTTACAAGAGGGTTTAATAAAGCTACTCGGCCAAAATTCCCGTTGAATAACGGGAACATTGGCTCTGTGGAGGGAGGAATGAGTTATCGACAATGCCAACCTTCATCTATATAACGATACCTCCAGATTGATTCAAGTTATCACGTCTTATATACTAGTGAATGGATGTTTAATTTTCATAGTGGTAGTTACGCCACAATACTGCCCCGCCCCACCAGAATTTTATCAGGGATAGAGTTCGACAAATGGATACCACTAGTTACTGTACTTGTGAAATACAGGGAGAGCTGGATTAAGGTCACCGAATTTTTTGAGTGCTGAACGTGAGAGGTGTATTAACTTCACGGTCGTAGTCGCTCATGTGTTGCATTTAGTAGTCGAGTGTACGTAGGCTGACGTTGTGCATGATCGAGACGAGACTGAGTAGCAACAGCGCAAGGAGGAGGACAATGTCGCAGTCACAAGTAGCAAGTCAACTGTTCAATGTGGACCATCCATCAAAGTAGGCGTTACCAGATCGAAGTGGGCGTTACTGCCATGATAGGCGCGTGTGCCCATCACGTCCGTAAGTCACCAATGTGGGGGGAGGAAGAAGTTATCGACAATGCCAATCTTCATCTATCAAAAGGTACCACCAGATTGATTCAAGTTATCACGTCTTATATACTAGTGAATTGATGTTTAATTTTCATAGTGGTAGTTACGCCACAGCTCTTTTGAGTATTATAGCATGTCAGAAGATTTTCGATGACGCGTTTATAGACTACATGGCACATCCCATTACTTCTTAATTCCTTCAATATCTGATTCAATGCTTGCTTCCGATGATAGCGATAAAAATGATGAAGATGAGCAAAAAATATCGGAGGATATACCTACATCTGGTCAAGAGTTTGAAAGCATAAAAACATCGCGAATGTAAACCATAAAGCAAATTTGCAAACAGTAGTAAATATTGAGAGGGGTATTATTGACACATCTAAAAGGAAAAAACATGTACAGATTGTACATTTTTCTAGTAGTTCCCCTCGTGAATGTAAATTTTTAAAAAGTAAACTTAGGTATTTTTAAATCCCGAATTTACCTTATCCCGCATCTTACGTTTTTCTTAAGGTAGCATGACGTTAAATGTAAAATCGGGGTTCAACTGTATATATCTATGAAATATAGATTTCTGAAATTTCGAACTTACCTGAAAACAAACCCTACGTAGTCGTCGTCAATTTCTGTATCCACAAAGAAAGTACCTTCAAAATCTACTCCACCAAAAGCATGAAATCCTACAAATGAAAGAAAGAAATTTTAGGAAAATGCTGAAATCTAAACTGTTCGTGTTATATTTATGAACCAGAGCACTCTATAAGAGGATGGTGCTTCAAAACGATTCAGATAATTAAGTAAAAATGGAAAAATAAAGTTTGGAAAGTGTGTTACTTTATCACAGTCCTTAATATGCGGTGGTTGTTAAATATGAAGCTGAAAAGTATGCATATAAGGAGTCACAAACTAACATTTAAACGAGGAAGAAACAGAAGTGCAATTGAAATCTGTTAAATCACTAATGGGGATAGCGAGGTAAAAAATCCTCACCAAAATCAGTTTTATAGTAGATAGAAACTTTTTCTGAAATTTCTAAATATTGCCTTTCAATATCTCTTCGTTTTTTCTGACTATCGAAAAGGTTTTATCAGTTGGATACTTGCAAGTGTCGTCATCGGAGATAAATCTTACCATTTATTCATTCAAAGACCAACCAGGTTCGACATACACGCGTGACGTCGTTTACAGGTATACAATTAAATCTGATTTAAATCACATGTGTAAGCATGATAACTTCACTTTTTCTCGAGTTGCAAGTACCCAATTGTATTCGAAATTGGATTAAATTCCTATGATCTAATTTGAATGTTTAATGAAACTGAAAGGAAGTGTAAAACGATAATAAGAATTGAATTTTGTTCTAGATTATTAGTTAAGTATTATTTTAGAAACATATATTTTTTAAATTTTCCACAACATTTGAGGCATCAGTACTGGTGACATTTACCCATATCTTGTCCAAAACTCCCTTACGAGAGACAAATTAAACTTTTATCTAACCTCTTCATTGTTTCGGTCCATATCTATGGACCTCCAATTCTTAGCTTCTAGAAACAAGCTATCAGAAAATTTATAGTGCTCATTTATAGTATACATTCGTAGAGGTGTAAGCTTTCTGGGATTTCCAATTGATGCAAGAGCATATAAGTTATTCGGATAGAATTCTACATCAACAGAAATTATTTTTTAAAACTGACGCTAATTCCACGAGCTTAGAAACGAAAATAATTTTAAATATTATATTATTTAGTTATTCTGAAAATTTTTTTCCCTTTTAACTTAGTAGTTCTTTGAAATGTATAAACTTTACATACAAAATGTCTTCCAATTATTGAATAGCCCTCTATTCATCTGGATATTCAAATCCAATGAAGGAACAAAGAGATGAAAATCCAATGAAGGGACAAAGTATGGATTTGGTTTTTTTTACAGTCGATTAGGAATTTTTTAACAATGGTTTTGGATTTTCTAACAATGGATAAGGATTTTAAACGATGTTAAATAAACGATGTTTTTTACGACTGCACAGTAAATGTAATTAAAAATGTTATAATGTGCTTACCTACAGCTAACCCAGGATCACTATTCATAGTCTGTACAATTTCTGCACCCTAAAGAACAAAATATAGGTAGTTCTTCAAATGAATTAACAAAAGGAGTTTTTATGAAATGATGAGTAAAAATTAATTCTGACCTGGTTATAGATGACCCAGTGTGGGTCTATCTGAGAGTCACCTTCAGGATCCAAAACAACTGTTTGATATGCTCTGAAATCTGTAGCATAGACCATTCTGTTGTCTGGACACACATCTTCGTCATCGTTTTTTCCATCACCATCAAAATCAAACCTACAAGCGTCACCCACTCCCGTTCCTGAATAAAATATTAAAACAAGGTTATACAGTAGAGCTTCCATAATCCGGAGCGATAGAGATCAACCTCGATCTGTATAATGAAAAATCCTGATAGATGGACCACTTTAAAAAACGGCTATGAGAATGTTTTTAACTAACTTTTCTTCCCAGTTTTTCCAGTCTTATAATTGGCAATTATAGTAGTGCCTATTATAGCATATTGCAAATGGCAAACCTACAAGCATCACGTACTCCGTTCGTGAATAAAATATGAAAACAAGGTTGAACAATATAGCTCCGATTATCCGGATAAATAGAGATCAACCTCGATTCAAATAACGAAAAATCCTGATAGATGAACAACTTTTAAAAGCGGCTACGAGAATTTTTTTAACTAACTTTCCTCCGCACTTTTTACAGACTTATAATTGGCAATTGCAGTGGTGCCAATTATAACATATAGCAAATAGAGTGTTTAAAAGGTTTAATTTTTTTAAAAAGTTTGACTAGAAACCTGTTCCCTTATTAGAAATTATTTGTCACCCACCTTGAAACAAGGCGGAAAGAACGCGTGGTTCTTTTGAAAGTCACAGACGGACGAGGCCATTTCTCAACCCCTTTCAAATATTCTGAAAATAAAAAAATAAAATACATTTTCTTGATTTCGTTTTGAAGATGGTTTAAAAAACTAATGTCCTTTGAAGCATCCGGATAATTGGACAATCTTTTAAATCTGTGCTCTTCTGTACATTTTTTCACCTTAGCACCTAACTTCACAAACCATCTCAGAAACTAATTAAGTGAAACACTTTTTTAAATTTGCAGGTTGGCCCGTAACCATTGCCTTTAATGCATTTTTTTTAAATTTCTTGTCAAAAATAAAGCTGAAACTTATTATTTAAGCGTTGAAGAAATGGGGACGTTATTGAACTATGTCGAATCAATAGCGACAAGGTGGGATAAAAAAACACCGGAATTAGTTTAAATCCTCTATGTACCTTAGAGGTATTTCTAATAACCACCCTTAAACTGATGATTGTTTCCGCTAGCAATAAAACAGGCTCCCGCGCTTTGAGTCTCGTTTCCCTAATAGTAATTGTTTAAGTTTTAATAACGTAATTGTGGCTTAAATATTAATTTAATAAGTAGATATTTATCAAAATAATTTAATATTATGTATTAGTTTAGTATATGTACCCTTTTTTACGATTTCATTTTACACAATTATTATGAAGACATATATTAAAGGCGATAATTATGAGACATTCAAAAATTTTCGGGAACGACTTTGTTTCTAAATTTAAAATTCCTGTTTTGTTATAGCAGCTTTTAAATCCCTTCATTTATGTATCTAAAAAATTTCATAAATATTTTTAAAAATATTTTTGGATGTTTTAGAAGCTGTTACAGAGATGTTTTCTGATTACATATAGGGCTTAAAAAACGTTGGAAACGGTCAAGTATGTAATGAAATACAAATCGGATCAACCAAGTGAAAGAAGACGCAGTCAATACCCCCCCCCCCCAANCCCCCCCCCCCCAATGGGGAAGAGGTGGGACAACATTGAAATTTTGAATATGAATTCCAATTCTGTATTGCAGATTCGGATTCTCCAGAAAACAGTAACCCTATTTGGCGCGTAGTTGTATGCATTTTGCTTCAAAACGGTACTGTACCCAAAAATTTAAAATAGAATATAAATTGCTTAAAATGGCTGTTTCTCGTGAACCATTTTTAGAACATAAAAGTAGATATGTTGCAATTTTTTTGTCGAAAAGAATTACCATGTAATTGAAAATGTTTACAGTTCTTTTTTAAAAATTTTCATTTCGAAAAAAAAAAGAAATACTGAAATATTTTTGTTTTATTTTCAATCTAATTGTTTTATTTTCGAGACACCACCATTTTAAACAATTTGTACCCTATTTTAGTTTTCTCGATTACAGCGCCATCTACAAAGCAAAACGTATAAACCTATTATCACATAGGGTTACATTCTTCTGGAGAATCCCAATCTGCAATGTAAAAAAAGAGGAATTCATATTTATGATTTCTCGATCTTCCAACAACTTAGTATCGTATCATTGGATAGATTTAAAATAAATATTGAATGCGTTTGTTTTCGCTTTTTTGATCCGATGTATATTTCATGAGATACTTGACCGTTTTCAACCACCCTGTAAAGATGACCATTTATTTAATTTTTAAATTTTTAACTCTTTCATTTATATACCGTATCAATAAGGTTTTAATAGCATCGTTGCCTAATTTGTTTACCTACAAAATTAGAATTTAAAATATATTACATAATTAAGTCGTTTAATTCACTATATATTATTAAAAATTCTAACATACGTTTAGTTGTGAAGATATATATCAGTGAAATATAATTTAAGTACATTTTTGCGGCTAAAATTGATTATACTGATTTTCCTTTCAATAGATGTTTAAAGATTTAAGAATAATTTATCATAACTTGATTAATATCTCTAATCTAGATAAGTGGGAAGATTTATCCATTAAATACAAAAATCAATTGAAAAGAACAGTTTATGTTCAATTTTTTACGAAAATTACGACAGGATCGACATCTGTTGCACTTAAACAAATAACGAGTAAAATAGGGTCTCCCCGAGAGTTATTACACGGTGATGATGGACAGTGTTTTCTGTCCTCGCGAAAATTCGTTTTTTCACTCTTCAAAATCAGTTTTTAAGGACATAAACTGTTCTTCCCCCTTGATATTCATACAAATTGTAATACTTACGATTTGTATCCTTTTGATCAGGGTTTGGTACCAACGGACAGTTATCATCGCTATCTGGCCAACCATCGTTGTCTTTATCATTATCACAAACATCACCTTAAAAAGTTAAGTGTCTTGTGTTTATTAACACATAGTTAATTATAAAGGTTATAAAACTTTTTATTTCAATACTGTTTTGGAATATTTAAAGTTTTTTGATCCTATAAATAACCGTTGAAACAACGTAATACTAAAAACTAACCTTTTCCATCGCCATCTGTATCAAGTTGGTCACTATTTGGAATGTCTGGACAGTTATCTACATTATTCTGGATACCATCGAAATCACTGATAAATGAAAAACCATGAAATATAATTATTTTTGAATTAGACTTAAACAACAATGCATTTCAATAGGTCATATGGTCTTAAAATTTATTCCAAACTTATACATTGTTATCTAGACAAGTGAGGTATTGTATCGTAATCACTTTTTTACGCTGAATCGAAGGAGACTGAAAAAACTCATCGATATATCGAATAATTTCGAAGTTATAAAGATTCTGTGTAAAATGAGTATAAATATTTTCTTGAACTAATCTGTGAATGAAATCCTTTTAACTGGGAAATTATTAGTCTTACTGATTCATATTCTATCACATTCGATTCAGTGTATGCAAATTCAGAGAACAAAATTATTCACATAAGAGAGTAATATTTAACTATCACTAAGAATTATTTAATCAATGCCATTTATTTGTCCTCTTTTTTATTTGGTTACAATTAGATCGAATTAATTTTTAGTATGATATTTTTCTCGAAACACTCATTTTTGTAATCACTTTTTAACGCACTCAATACAATCATAAATCCGTGTTTAGATCTTATAATTGGAAAGAAAAAATTTCTCTCTTTACATTTAGTAAATTTAGTATTTTAGTTAATATGATATTACATGGAAATCTCGAATCACATATTTTCGTAATCACTTTTCAACGCACTCAATATCATCGTAAATCCGTGCTTCGATCTTATTATTAGAGAGAAAAAATTTCTTTCTATCTTTACATTTTCATTTAGTAAATTTAGTATTTCAGTTAGTATGATATTTCATGGAAATCTCGAATCATGCGTTTTCGTAATCACTTTTCAACGCACTCAATACGATCGTAAATCCGTGTTTCGGTCTTATTATTGGATTAAAAAAAATCTATCGTTAAATTTTGTAAATTTTATTTTTATGGCAGAAAATGACAGTTTTTTTTTTATATCTTCGATGTGCAAGAGGGGGAAAAATTAAAAATAGAAAACTAAGCGCTAAAAAAGAAATTTCAGATTATTTCTTCTTTCAGCAATCATGTGTCTGTATTCATTCTAGACCGAAACCACAACTTTTTTTTAAAAAAGAAACATATTTTCCTCGAATTATTTCCGCATTCAACGATTACGAAGCTAGCTTTTTAGGTTTAAGATCTGAGTATTTTTAGATCTGAGATTCTGAGATCTGATGATTTTTTTTACAGAGTCATTATAGCTATTAAAAAAATATTTGAACAACTTTGAATAGTTCATAGTACCTTACCATGTAGACTCAAAATTAATTCTTTAACTATGTGTAAACATGTATCGGTTTTTCTATAATAAAAACAATTATTTGAAGAAAAATTTTATATTCTGTTGCATGGAAATGTCTGTATTATTTATAGATTCTACACATCATTTCAAATGCAATTATTTGAACCTACAAATAAACATTGGATAATATGCAAACATAGAAATATTGATGAATTCTAAAGGTTTCTGCAGTTTGCTTCATAAAAAACTAGAAGTTATAATACTCACTTATCAAGATTATTATCACATGCGTCACCAACTAAATCTCGATCCAAATCAGTCTGAAAGAAATTAATATCAATTACTTTTAAAAAATCGAATTTATTAAATCGAAACTGAAACTATATTCCATTAATAAACGAAATAAATAAATAGTAGATAAATAAAGTTTCATTAGATGTACTTACTTGACTAGGGTTGGAAACGTAAGGACAGTTGTCACACACGTCACCTAGTCCATCACCATCACTATCTCTCTGATCTGGATTGGTCACACGGGGACAATTGTCCTTAGGATCCGGAAAACCTAGATATTTAATTAAGCTGTATTGTTGCTCCAAAAAACTAGTTGATAAAAGATTTAAAGACATCTGTNAATTCTCACAAAATTATCTTCATCGAAGCCGATGCTTTACATCCGGCGTTCAGTACTATTTCATATTGTTTTACAACACATGGTTTTAGCCCTCTGGTGGGAAAGTCTTTAAAACAAAACTAACAACAGTCACTTTTCTCAACAACTGAAATTTAGAATAGTGTGATTGAGAAAAATATGTGAACTGTTTGCAATTTCGAATTAATATTGAAATGCATAGATTTAGAATTTTCTACAGTGAAAAGTTTTCGGAATTTCCATGTTCAAAAAAGTATACGAAAGCTAGACGTTAAGAGCTTATCCAATGAGCGAGAAAAGCTAGCATCGGATTGCGAAGCAATCAGAAATGAACTGCGAAAGCAGTTCCGGGGGTTGGTGAGCGCCAGCGAGCAGGTTGCGAAGCCTCCTAGTTAGTTAATAAAAGATTTAAAGACATCTGTAACGTCCGTATTCACCAACACAGATTACCTCCGGGTAATCTATGAGTAAGAGTAAAATCACGAGTTTAGTGCGAAACGTTATTCTCCAGCCGAAATTTCGCCAAACTCGCAGATTTCATCAACAGTTGTGACTCTCCGGGTAACCCTCCGTTTCTGCCGTGTTATCGGAGGGTAACCTATTGACGAGGAGCTTGTAAACAAAAAAGATGGAGGATTCTATCGCTGCGTTTGAGCTTGAAGATCTTGAATTTCTTGAAACTGTTGAAAGAAGGGAAAGATATGTCCCAACTATCAGAAATAATGACCAAAGAAGAGTTAGATGAAATAGACTTTTTTGAAAGATATCGTTTCTTAAAACCTCTCCACTTAAATTAGCGATACTCACGCTAATTTGTTTATGCACGATGCACGTTTTTATATTATATACAAAGTCACATGGTTTTACATTGCCCAATTAAAGGCCTCGTTATATTTCCTGCAAGAGTTAAACTCGAGTTGTGAAATCCTCTGTTGAAAACGGTTGGAGAATAAAAAGCGACTGTTAATCCGAGAGTAACTCTGAACCGTGGATATTCCGATCCCCGAGTTACTCTTGAATTTAACTCGGCTTGGTGAATAAAGGGTTAATTGATATCCCAAGAAGTATACATGAAATTCCATCGAAAATGATTACATGAAAATGATTAAATGGATGTCCTCACATTCCAATTATGAATTTTATTTTATTTTATAACTGTCGCTGCACAGCCGACCCAATTTTTGGCTTACTACTACTAATGTTCAACTCCGTAGCTATGAAATTTTGAACCAATCCAGAAGACAAGGAAACTCCTGGATCAGTACACCCAGAGGTAAGATTGGTTATGGGAACATGGAGGACTTTGTTACTCGACAGATTTAACGTGCACCAGACACTATTTACTACACGGGGAGCTTTCGGCCAACGAGGATCGAAACCACGCTCTCTTGGACATAGGCCCAGTGCCCTACCAACCAGGCTATCCCGGCCCTACAGTTGGGAATTATGCACGAGCACTGCATTATTTCTCAGCTTGCAGTTCTTCGTACACAATAAAGTTTAATAGCTATTCCTAGGAGGCAAAACATCCGCCGATTCAACTTAAAGCCCTCAAATTTTTGTTACTGTGCTACTTAATGGTTTGACAAAGTTGAAACACAATACTGAATGTACTATTGCGTCCATGACTCCGTAATTGTTATCGAAAGTATTAACTAATTAACCAATTATTATTAATCAATATTATTAGCATTTACCAGCTTTTTTTCTTTTTTGTATGGGAATAATGTGCTTGCTTGTGGTGAAAATTTGTAACTGAAATTGGGTTACTTAACTTTCAATTTGATGCATGATTTGTCGCATAAAATCTGAAGTATTATAATATACCAATGAAAATGGTGGATTTTTAACGGTACTTTGTTTCAGACCACAGATATTTTATTAGTAATAAAAGAGCTAATTGCTAATTTATGAAATAGTGCGAGTATACGCATTTTAAATTGGTCTCACATTAGAAGTCCAAAGTAGAACTCAAATCAACTTAATAAAATATGTAGCGTTTAATGCAACCAAAAAACAAAAAAAAAAAACCTTCCCTGCAACAGCCTATTAAGAGTCAAGGGGTCGTGACGGTAATAGTTTCGTGTCCAATGGCATGAAGTGATCAGTATTGCACACTGGCCGACTTTCCTGCCCGTACAAGATGGTATTCATTGGTCTGAAGCTTGTAGTTTTCAAGCCGCCGGTTATCAAACCTAGGACCTTCAAAATGATAATTAAGTGTATTTGCCACTGAGCCGTCACGACTCAAAGTTTTGTCCACAGCAGGAAACTAAAAATACATTTTTTCTCCTCGTAATCTGATAAAGCACTGCCATAAACTATGTCTGACTAAAAAAAACGAAAGAAGAATGTACACCAAGAAACTTAAAAATTATCGGTTTTCAATGCTACTTGATTTGTTGAAGGTTAATAAATTAGGGGATTTATTATTCTCTGATCTAAATAGTGCTGAAGACACTTATTAAGCTCGATTTGATGACGTTACTATGTCTGGTTGCTGAATATTGATTATAAATTCTATGATTGTAAAAAATTAGCCAGAAGTCAGCTTTGCTCTTTTAAAGCAGAGATGTTATTTCAGTTTTCAGTTCACTAATGAAATTAAGGAGCTAAAAACTAATGCCACTGTTTTAAAAGGATGAAGTTATATTAAAACTGATTTTTAATTTTCCTTTTTTCTACCCCAAATACAGCGTAGGAATAAATGCAATATAAAACATATTTTCTCGCATATAGTTTAAGATTCAATAGTAATTAAATTTCGAAATTATAAGAATTTGCAAAATGATTTCAAAAAGAAGTAAAAAAAGTGTAAATTATGATTTTTAAGGGAAACTTGTTCATTAGGAAGTTGTGTTCTGTTTGTTAATATTATAAAATTTATCATCAATCACATTATATATCAAGTTTTTAAAGGTATTAAAGAATATTGGATTTTTTTCTATAGAATGTATTAATCAAATTATATTTAGCAGAAAACTTAATGTGCAACTAACTCAAGTAGATTTTAAGAGGATTAAATTAACTAGTCCATAAAAATTAACGAGTAAATAAATCTAGATAAAGAAAAGTACGTGCATTATTTTTATTAATAAAGCAATGGAAAATGAAAAAGAGTAAATTTGATTGAATATACATATTTATTATATTTTTATGCCTAACATTTATGCTGTACCAATTTAAGGAAATAATTTCAGAACGCATGTTGTCAGATTCATTTGAATTAATTGCACATAATTAAAAAAATATCATTTAAATTAATTTAAATTTGAGGCAGTTTTTCATTGTTTCATTTCGTTTCTTAAGGGCGTAATATCATTTAAATTTGAGGCAAATTTTATTGTATCATTTTGCTTTTTAAGGGTCTCATATTATTATGTGAGGCAGTTGCTTTTTCATTGTTTCATTTTGCTTTTTACGGGCGTAATGTCATTTAAATTTGAGACAGTTTTGTTGATTTTAGCACTTGTGCTATGAGGCTTTATGTTCAAATCAGTTTTTTTTTAAATTTCAAATGTAATAATTTAAGTGTATATCATTATAAGTCAACTATGGGAGCTTAAGAATATATTCCGACTGAAAAGATATCTAAAAAAATGTGATCGCCAAAAGTAGATCACAGGTTACCCATTGGCACAATGATTGTTGTCTAATTTTTTCATTTTCTCCCGTCTACGTTCTTTGGCTTTAGCTTTTTCAGCCTCGGTAAGTTTAGGCCTTGGCTTCACTTTTTTTCCTGCTTCAACTCTAACCTTTGGGACCGTGTCAATCAGTTTGGAAACCTCGTTTTGTGTCTGATATTCACCTGAATTAGTATTGAAAACGATCCAGTTTAAACTGTAGGTTAGAATTTCTGATTCTTAATTAAAACAATAAAAACAAATATATTACTAAAATGATGAAATTCTCTTTTATTCACAGCTCAAGAAGCTTCATGGGATCTCTCTGGTCCCATATCTCATAAATAAACTCAGCAACTTAATGCATAACAAAATTAAAAGTGAAAAAAAGAATTCTAAAAAATTATCAAACAGCAGCGGTTGCCATAGCAACCCATGAGCACTGCTTACTATTACTCTTGAACACAGTTGAAAAGTGTGATGACGCCATCAAACTCAAAACAAGAACCATTTTGCCAATGGGTAAAAATATCCACAACCAATATTGAAGCTACGAAAACCTTTTAAGCTGATGTTAAATAAAGAAAAGTGAAGTGAAATATTACTTTAGTGTCTAAATTTATTAAATATTTCTATTTGGAGGTTTTTTAATAAGTCTAGACTCATTGACAAGCTCATTGGAATCTTTTCAATAACATTTGCAGTGTATGAGACTTTACAATTGATCTATATGCTGTTAGCTTATTGTAAAATCCGGAGCGTTGCAAATAACGCTAGCTGTATTGCACGACGTCAGGGTAGTTGGAAAAGTTGTAGTATTTTCTAATCAGTCTTTTGTTTTAGACTAACTAGAATCAGCCTATCTGTATTTAAGCTAATTAGGAAATGTATTATGAATTTCTCAATTAGACTGAACTTGCTTTGGTTTACAGTCTTTCATTATTTACACGTTTAATAAAGATATTCACAATAAGCCTTCAAGATTCTGAGCTTATTGCAAACTACCTGATCAAGCTAATTGAGTAAGCAATGATGTATTTTGTAATTTACATAGAGGTATGAACGACTCTTTGTAATAAGCATAAGGAATTTCAAGTTGATTAGAGAATTTTAAAATTAGCTTGGTTGACTAATTGGAATGACAGCGGCTGTTTGCAAAGAGCCGAATTATTCAGTTATCCCTCAGGATATATAAATTTACCATCTTGATCAGAATCTGGATCGCATGCATCTCCAATACCGTCGCCATCAGAATCCGTTTGATCCGGATTTGGAATCTTTGGACAGTTGTCGCAAGCATCCCCTCTCCTGTCTGGTCCGTCCACGTCTGTATCTTCCTGCTTTGGGTTGTGGGTTAATGGACAATTATCCAATGACTGAAAAAAAAATCATTTATTATAATTCTCTTTAGAAATGCTATACTCTTAATAATAAGAAAATGTTTCTCAAGTTCACGTGGTTTCCTCACTCTCCCCATTCTTCCAATCTCCGTTACCATGGTTTCGACTAATTTCACTTTTTCCCATCAGCAGTATGTTTCAGAAAGGACATCGCATAACATTTAGACTCCTATTTTACAATGGGAAGGGATATGTCAACCTTTAGACGCCTATTCCATTTAAAATGGGAAGGGATATCTCGAAACTTTTAGAAGCCTATTCTTTTTACAATGGCAAGGGATATCCCGCAACCTATAGACGCCTATTTCATTTACAATGAGAATAAAGTGTACTGCACCGTACTAAAGTTAAAACAGATATTTCCTTTGATGTTCGTTTATGCAGTTTTGCGCAAAAGAAAAACTCAAATATTACTCAAAAATTATTTACTTGAATTTTTAAAATATTACTTAATTAATTTTTTGAGTAATGAATTATGTAAAAATATTTATTTGCACATGGTTGGATATAATGTGGTTAGAAGAAACTTTTCGAACCACGAGTTCAAAATAGAACTCCTGTTGATAAAATTGAAATTGTTTTAATGCATCCATTCATCCATTTTGCGCACAAATCGAATGACAAAACTACGATTCATGAATAAGAATCTTAAAAGACAGTTTTAGGTTGCATTTGGTTATACATTACCTTACATGTGAAATGTATAGTAATACGTTTCTAAAATAGATCTCTTACCGGGTTATTGGGCACACCATCGTTGTCAGCGTCGTCATCACATGCATCTCCCAATCCGTCGCTGTCAGCGTCCTCCTGTCCACTGTTGGGAGTCATCGGGCAGTTGTCCTAAATTATGAATACTTCAGTTTTAAAGACTAAACAGTGAATGGTGTGAAATTTCATGATGTTATGCAACACAGTACCTTCATGTTAACTTTATTGAAATCATCAATTTATTACTTATTACTATCATCCTTTATTTAATAATTGCAAATTATAATACATAATGGGATAAAAAATTAAACATTTCATAATTAATTCCAGAATTATTAACCGTTATAGGGGAAAATATCATGCGGGCCGATGTACAGGCCGCAGGACTGCAACTTACAACGTTTAAATTCGGCATGATGGAAGAACCATATTTATTTATGAACTTAACACATAGTTTTTTTTTTTCATAATTCCAATCTCTTCGAAAGTTAATACAATTTTTGGTGATTTTTTTTCAGTTTTTTGTTTGTTTTACGGAACATTTTGCGTTTCTACACTATGGAGGCGGTGATCATCATTCCAAATATTTAGTGGTAGTTCAGGTATCATCATTGACTCTTGGCCGTTACAGATTCATCTTAATTTGGATGCAATGCAATGATAATTATCTCAGAGAAATGAATAAAATTGCTTAAGAAAAATTGATTTATTAAGTATAGAACATGGCCATAATTCAAAATATGAAGAAAAAACTCTTAAAGGGATCAAGAAAAATCATTCTCTTCATATCGAGAATTCCTGTTAAGATTGATATTCAACAGTTGGGACAGGGAGGCCCAACCCAGTCTCCAAAAAATGGAAAGTGAATGAATTGTTCCCAACTGACAGTTAGGAGCATAGGAAGAGATCCATAGTTGGCGATTTATTGAAATAGAACGTAGCCAAAAATAAAGCCAACCCCCTTAATCAATATTACATTTAAAAATACCTTGGCGATCACGAATCGCCAAAAAAACTGAGAGAATTAGTATGTAACTGAAACATATATGTGGTAAGAAATGAGGAATAAAGAGTTATAAATAGATTTTTGTTTTCGATTAGTCGCGACAGTGAATTAATGAGTCTTACATTAGTATTGTAATAAAAAGTTAGCCGTTGCATTGATAGATAAGAAAAGAATGACATATTTTATATTCGCTTTTTATAAATTTCAATAAAAACTAAATAATTGATTTTATTTAATTAAAATTCGGTTAAGAATGACTAAAAAAATACGTGTAAGAAATTAAAAAAAAAATTAAAAGTTAGGAAATATGTAATGCCTATTGTGGCATCACATGCACAAAAAATCTATCACATTTATAAACTTTAAATTTCAAAGGTAGAAAATGTTTTTGGGAATACGGAATGACAAAAAAAATTTCGACAGCTAGTCTGCGAATTATTTACTGCCAAAAGCGTGGGGGAAAAAATACCATGTTTTGTCGATCTCTAGCCTGTTGAAACACAACTACAGAATTGAAATTGAACTTGCTGAAAGAGCCCTTTTTATGTATAAACCAAACGCAAATTTTGTTAAAAAAAATTATTAATTCGCTCGAAATTATCACGAATTTTTCATTATTTTTTCAACTTTTTAGCTTTAAAATTGATTATTTATCCATTGTTGCAGAAAATTTATTTTCTCTCACGAGATCTTTATTACTTTATTGTATATGCTCGCTTTCGAGTTTATTTCAATCAAAAATTGTTGAAAAAATGAGATGAGAGAGGTTGCATGTTGTCGGATACGATCTTAAAATTTATATTAAAATTTTTAGACATAAAAATACTTAATAAAGAGAAATCAAAAACGTTGCCTATTTGAGCTATTAAATCTCGTCAATGAATATAATAACATCTTACTTATTTATACTTATTGAGGCATACAATCTGCGTTTCTTAGGTTAAAAGTTTTCTCAAGTACAGATAATTATTTTAAAAATCTCGAAATTTTTAAAATTTCTTTCGTCTATTTCGTAACAATTAACCTATTAAAAAATAACCTACAATACTTGTATATTCTAATGGTAAAATGATGTGTTTAATGGAAAATATTGACGTTTAACAAAAATAAAAAAAAGCAATTATAGGGGTAGGTAAATGAGGCGAGGCGGAGCCTCCTAGTCTCTTATGTTTTTCTAATCTAGAATTTTGAAAAAATCATTACGAAAACCAACATAATAAGCAAGATTACAAATTATACTAAAACGAAATTTTTTTTAAATAAGTGAACCGTTGTTTCTGATTTTCTAAATTCATTTTTAAAGTAATAAGAAATTGTAATAATAAAAAACTTTCTGAGCAAAACTGAGCAGTAGAAAAACTTTAATTTTAACGGAGCTGCGCCATCAGTAAAATATGAAACTTACTAAAATATTAAAATAATTTTTCAAATTGGAAAAAGTAAATTGAAATAGTTAACTATTACTATAATATTTATTCAATCACCAAATACTCAAGTTCAAAGGAATTTTAATATAGCTTCGACAAATAAATAGCGTTTGTTAGCATTTTGAGCGATATTTTAATCCAAATTTATTGAATTAAAATATTTATTTTGAATATTGTCATGTTAACTTAAAGTACTAGTATATTCACCAACTAAGTTTGCATTACTTTAAAAATTTAAAGTTTAATATTTTAGGAGAATCTTTTTTTTTTGAGATCGTAAAGAATTCTATAAAACAAATTAGCATATATATAAAGGCATTTTTAACTAAATTACTTCAACAGTTTTCAAGAGGTAGAATCCAGTAAAAGGTGCCATCAACAAACTTCCCGCTTGCTTTCTTTTCAAAAACTAATTCATATAATCTCAGAAAATTTTATTTCGTTATTATTAAACTATATCGATACCTTCTTCTCTCCTTCTACCAGCACTATAGCCAATTTCCAGGTATGACAGTATCTTAACTCTTTCAAGACTTATTTCTAAAACCTTTTCTTTCGAGAAAAATTTTTTTACCATTGATAATATTAAAAATAAGTTTCTTTAAAATCTGGATTCACTTCTCGCAATTAAATCCTGGGACAATGATCTAACATTAGTTTTTTTAGTGGGGCACATGCTTTGCCACCAGTATACAACGGTAACAGATTATGTGTTTGAACAATTTACTGTATAAGAATTTTTTTTAGAAAATACTCCAAATGAATTTCTCTCAGTTTAAAATGTAATAAAATCAAATTTTAAATGTATCTAAAACTTGACAAATTTGTAGTTTGAAATTACTTATTCAAAACCATAACTCGTTTTTTTTTATTGCTTCAAAGTTTTGAGGAAAAATCCATAGAAGTGCAAAAGTTTGTTAAGCGCAAAAAACATCAAGAAAGCGAAAATAAAGAATCCAAGATTACGAGTGTAAAGGCCTTTTTGAGCTCTTAAATCTATTGTCTATCGTACGCCAGCCCCTTTTCCCACAATTTGTCCATTTAGTAGGGGATCTGCCTCTCCTCTTTTTTTTTAGCTCACGTATGGTCATTTTTTTAAAATGGATTCTCGTGCCATGTCCTATAGATGCGATCAAACCATCTCCTCTGCTTGATTTTAAAAATAAACTTCACTCTATTTGAATCTCAGAATCAGTGACAGTGTAGTTTCGCTACCACTACAACTATTCAATTCCCATTCACTAATATATAAGACGTGTTAACTCGATTCGATCTTGAGGGACCCTTTGATAGATAACAATTGACATTGTCGGTTGCCTTCACAAACATTTCGGATGTAATCTGAACACGCCTACCTCGACTGGAACGACCACTTAGATTTGAACACACCTAATTTGATGGATGGTCAACAGTGAACAGTTGTCTTGTTATTTGTGACTGCGACGTTGTCCTCCTCACGCTGTTGCTTCGCAGTTTCGATCACACGCAACGGAGGCCTGTTACACTCGACTGCTAATAGCAACACCGAAAAGACCCCGCCCACGAACATGATCTTAATACAGCTCTAACAATCAGCACTCAAAGTCTGTTGATCTTAATACAGCTCTCTTAGCCTCTCGCAAAATGACAATGAATCAACTAGTGGTATCCATTCCTCGAAATCTATCACAGTTAAAAGTCTGGCAGATGAGTAATGTAGCGTCGCTACAACAATGCAATTTCCATTCACTAGTATATAATGCATGTAAACCCAATTCTATGTTGAGGTATCTTTTGATAGATGACGGTTGACATTGTCGTTAGCCTTTACCCACAGTATGATTCAAAGTTGTCTCGTATCATCCATACATTACTTTTTGTTTTAGCTCTGAAAATTCTTCCTCAGATCCGTATAAGTAATCCATTTTCCTTTCAACTTTGCATTATCCAACACTCGCTTTCATTAGGTCTTAATGGTTTTATTAAGGTCTGATATGGTTTTAATTTTTTCTCCTACTTGAGTAGTTCGGTTTAAAGTGCTCTCAATCCAAAGTAATATCTATTAGATAGCAGTGTATTTCTCGTAGTCGTGTATTAGTATTTCGTATCATCAATTGTTTACAATTGTTTCCAAGTGTAACATTGGTAACTTGAAACGTAATATGTTCTATCCTAATAAGATATTAAACTAACTTTGTTTGTAATTGAGCCGTGGAATAGTATAATCAATGATTTGCACCATAATAGAGATATTTTGCTTAGCGTTTACAGGTTCGGGATGCTAATAGAAGGTTTCTGAAGATTCACAATGTAATGCAAAATCTCTCTATTCTGATTCAACTCGACACCGTATTACATTTTCTGAAAATCTGAACAATGTTATGGTGTTAATGTTTCAAAAAATATTTTTATATTCAAATATTTTTTATATTCAGTTCTTTAAAAATGACTCCAATGTGAGCACTTGGAAATGTGACATCGATAGTGTGTGAAATATTTCTCTTTTGGAATATTATATTTCATTTTCAAATATAATCTTTTTAATATTTTCAGCACAGAAACAGTTGACTGAGAAATCTCAAAAATAAACATTGAAATTCTCGCTGCCGTTTACTATCTACTAGAAACGGCTACAGGACTAATCTATATTTTTCGTTTATAGAATAGACTTATTAAGGCTACACCATTTCCCCACTCACCACACTTCCTCCTTTTCCATT